CCCACCGTACCACTCCTCCCCTCCAGCCTCTGCTGGGCCCTACCCTGGGTGTTCAGCCAGACCAGCTCATGGCCTGGAAAACTGCAAGTCAGAGTGGAAAATGCTTGGGTCATGTCGAGGATAGCAGCATGATCTAAGGCCCGGTTCATCGCTGTGATTCGTGGTTTACTGGGTTCACTGGGCTTTGACTTGCGCTTCAGACACTGCTCTGTTTCTCTGAAGTCTGACTTTGACTGTGCAGAGCAGGGCTCCAGGGCGAAACTAGCAGCTTTTATTTCCAACCAAACCCAGCTCCCCTGTGCCTCCTGCTTCATCAACTGCATGGCTTGGCGAAGCGCCCTCTTCCTCTGTGGTACCAACAGATTGTAGAAGTCAGCAGGTCCCTCTTACTCTCTTTCTCTCCTTAGCAACCACTTGGAATAATCCAAAAGAGATGTTTGTAATCTTATGACACTCTCCTTTGACCCGGCGAGAGACCTTGCCTTTACAAGGGAGCCTTGCTGACTGACTTTCAGCCTATTTGATTATTTTCATATTGGGCTCTTGGTAGAAAGGGCTTATTTGACTTCCCTGATGAAAAATGGTCCACTTGTTCATGAACTTTGTAATCTACATTGTTCTGGGAATTGGTACGGAGCAATCTATGGGACCGAGATCTGCCTCAGATGGCACCCTATTTTAAACATCACAGTGGAGAATTTTGCAAGGCCTATGAGATCTTTATTTTAGGAAGGTGCCTGTTGTCGCTCAAAACTTTGGAGCTGAAAGGAAGCCTCTGTTAATTCCTCTTCCACCTTCTCCGTCGCTGTTCACATTCTAGATTTGCTCAGTTTGGAGGAAGTCCATCTTCCTTTCTCAGCCCTGACTTAGGGTAGACACTTGTCTTTCCCTGTTTTATTTTCCTGGATTATTTGTGTTCCAGCGGTTCAGCTACATTATTCTAGAAAGTAAGTGGCTTTGAACTTGGAGGTTGATGGGTCTGCAGTGGGGATTATAGTTCCTGCTCAGAGGAGAGGCAGCAGGGTGGCGGCTGCAGATTCTTCACGTCTCTGTCAGACTGGGTCCAGGTTTAACTGTGAGCCCCACACAAGGCAGTGTTCGTCCAAAGCCAGACTCCAGCAGGAGAGGGGGATGAACAAGGTCCACTGTCTCCGAGGGGTGAGCAGAGGAAGGGTCGGGTCCGGACTGGCTGGCGAGTACAGGGCTTGGCTGTGATGCTCAAGTGCTGGAGTTTCTGCTTCTGGCTGTGTTTTCTGAATCCTGGAGATCAGGTGGGGCTTGGCATGGTCTCCCTGGTTCAGGTTCAGTGTTTGACATGCAGATCTTTCCTCTCCCAGCCAAGGACCTTTTTCCCCCTCCGAATGCAATCTCTGGCACAGAAAGTCCACTGTACTGGGTCCCCATTTACTTTCTGGTTATCTTGGCTGTAGAAGACAGGTAAAGGGCATTCTGTGTGATTGGTTAGAAGCCTCTAACGCCCACAGAAGGAGCGTGAAGGGTGACCGATTGGTGTCGCTCATCTCCCTGGTATCCTTGTAATTTGATTGTTATCAGAGTCTTAGTTGGAAAGGGAGAATCTGAGCCTCATTCCAGGCCCTAAAAAACTAAATAACTTTCTTGGAACCACATGGTGACCTTCTTCTGGAAGCCAATAATTTCTGACTCCAGGGCTTGGCTTCATCCTCTCCATGTTTCCTCCCTTGCCTCTTGTCCTGCAGGAGTCTGAGGGTGGCCTCTACATCTGCATGAACACATTCCTGGGCTTCGGGAAGCAGTATGTGGAGAGACATTTCAACAAGACGGGCCAACGAGTCTACCTGTACCTGCGGCGGACCCGACGCCCGGTAGGGACAGGCTGAGGCAAGGCCTGGGGATATTTAGACACACCCCACCGAGCACCCCACCATATTCTGTCTTCTATCTTTCCTGACCTTCTGTAAGCCTTAGTCTCCTCCTTTCACCTGTTTCTGTTGGTGCCATTAAAGCTCAGCACAGGTAGTTTTTAGCTCCATTCTCTTTTGAAATGAACTTCTTCCATGCCACCTACCCTCTCATCTGTTACCTCCTTGGTGCTCACTACCGGTCCTGCCCTTCCTGCCTCATTGCAGAAAGAGGAGGACACCACTACAGGCACTGGAGACCCGCCCCGGAAGAAGCCCACCCGGCTGGCTATTGGTGAGCACAGCGCAGCCCCGGTCTCATCCTGAGCTGGTCTTCCTGTTCTTGGAAGTACTAGAAAACCAGCTAGAGCCTGATCCTGCTTGGCCCCAGCGCTCTGCAGGGGACGGGTGCAGGGTCATGGCAGAGGTGATGTTACCTGTGGCAGTTTCCTATGGTCCTTCTTCTCTGTCTCACCAGGCATTGAAGGTGGGTTTGACCTCGGCGAGGATAAGTTTGAATATGATGAGGATGTGAAGATTGTCATTTTGCCAGATTACCTGGAGATTGCCCGGGATGGGCTGGGAGGACTGCCCGACCTTGTCAGAGATCGGGTATGATTACCCTTCGGCCTCACCACAGACTCCAGGGCAGACAGGGCCAGAGCAGTGATGTCCTGAGCCAGCACTGAGAACGCTGAACACTGAAGGGCTGGAGGGCGGGGGGCTGGAGGGCGGACGCTGTCTCTGACCCTCTGCTTCCCCCAGGTGACCAGTGCGGTGGAGGCCCTGCTATCGGCCGACTCGGCGTCCCACAAGCAGGAGGTGCAGGCCTGGGATGGGGAAGTGCGGCAGGTGTCTAAACACGCCTTCAGCCTCAAGCAGCTGGACAATCCTGTGCGAATCCCTCCCTGGTGAGGCCTTCCCCTTGGGCCATAGCCCCCTGAGGAGGGGCAAAGCGGCCCTGACTGGGGGGGTCTGGTGGGAGAGAGCGTCAGGAGCAAGACAAGGAGGGAGATTTGGGAGAGATGAGCAAAGCGATGGGATGTCTGGAGGAAAGGAGAAGAAAGCGCTCTTGACTGACTAGGGGCCTTCAGGACCCCGTTTCCACTCCCATCCCCTGAACCCCGTTTCCACAAATTTCCTTCCCGCTGGGATAGCGGCTGGAAGTGCTCCAAGTGTGACATGAGAGAGAACCTGTGGCTCAACCTGACAGATGGCTCCATCCTCTGTGGCCGGCGCTACTTTGACGGCAGTGGGGGCAACAACCACGCCGTGGAGCACTACAGGGAGATGGGCTACCCGCTGGCCGTCAAGCTGGGCACCATCACACCCGATGGAGCCGGTACGCCACACCCCACCCTGACGTGTTTGTGCGGTTCCTGGCTTGGTGCAGGGCAAATAATGCAGGACTGTCTCTTGTTGACAGTGAAGTTGCTGCAAATGAGGCTAAAGCTTCTGTTGTTGATCCCCTCAGTTCCAGTCCCCTTCTTAGAAGTTACCACCATTGTCTGCTCAGAGAGCATCTCTCGAAACCCATCATACCCTCGTACCTTCCCTACTGGGGTAGAGTGGCACTTCCTGCCCTCGGCCTGTTTCACCATCTTCCCCGAGAGCCAATCCCAGAAGGGTCTGTCACGCCCTGACACTCAAGGCAGCCCCAGCTCTGAGCGCAGGGCATGCGTTGGTGACCCCCCCGCCCCTCCTCTGACACCGCCCCTCCCCCTTGTGCTAGATG